CGTAGCATATTCACAGTGTCGTGTATTCACGGTGTGACAAACTAAGGGTATTTGGGTAGTGTACTACAGCCAGCACTTTCTGTATACATAAATTACATACAGCCTTTGTCTTGTATATGTTTCTGAATTCAAATATATATGTTTTATCACAATACTGCCAGCATTGCTGCATCTGACACATCATGAATGATAGAATCAAAAGCTGCTACGAGGTTCATCATGGGTCAATCTAACATATGGTTGTCCAATATTGAACCACACTGGAGCATAAGCCACATGTCGAAGCAAGCTTGTTCGCCAGCTCGAGGCCAGGATACCTGGTACCAGCAACCTATTAGAGCGTTGAGGTACCGGGTTCCAGCCGGGATCACCAGTTTCCCAGGTGCGACTTCCCGGTAATCAGAAGATCACTCCCACCCTCAAATTACATAGATTTATCGCGGCGGTGTACCCCAATATGTTCAACTTGGAGTAAAATAAACAATGGCACGTGTTGGAATAATGACTTGTCGTGGCATTATCCCTCCCCGCAGCCCGTCCTGTCCACCATTGTCCCTGGATCCCCATCTTTCCTCGTTTCCTGGCCGCTTGGCCATCCTTCCATCCTTCACGAAAACTTGCCATGGTCGATGATAAGTACATCGGCCTCGCCCTTGCTGTTTCGGGCTCCGTTCTCATTGGAACCAGCTTCATTATCACGAAAAAGGTATGCCCGCTCAGTTTCCATCAACTCCACGCCTTGTTCATTTTTTTACTCAAGGGCCTGAACGATGCTGCCAAACGAAATGCAGCCTACGGTGCCCAATCTGCGTCGGATAACTTGGCATATCTCAAAAACGCTATATGGTGGGCCGGGATGTCAACCAGTGCGTCCATTCCATCTGTCTATTTAATCGTACACAAACTGACAGTTTCCTCTACAGTGGTTGTCGGAGAAAGTAATCGTTCTGTTCCTTAGATTCTCCGCGACAGATCTTCTGACGGTTGCGTACAGTCGCGAACTTTGCCGCGTATGCATTCGCCCCTCCAATCCTCGTGACGCCGTTGGGAGCCTTGAGCGTGTTGATCGGGTGTGTCGCCGGTGCTTCCTGCTCCTCTCACAAAAGTTGCTGAACGGCAGAAACTAGAGCTGTCCTCGCCTCTTTCCTTCTAAATGAAGAGCTTGGACATTTGGGTCGACTGGGATGCACACTATGTTTAATTGGGTCACTAATCATCGTCCTTCATGCCCCAGAGGATAAAGACGTTCAGACCGTAGAAGAATACTTAACTTATGCCCTACGACCAGGTACGTTATAACTTTTCTTCTTTTTTTCCTTCTTTGATGTATATGACAGGTTTCCTAATGTATTGCTTTACGGTCCTTGTATTCACCTTGATCATGGTCTACGCGGTCGCTCCCAAATACGGGCGCTCGAACCCCATGATCTACATATCCATCTGCTCCCTCGTCGGCTCTATCTCGGTCATGGCAATCAAGGGCTTTGGCATCGCCCTCAAACTTACCTTTGGTGGCAAGAATCAGTTTACTCATCCAGACACATACGTGCTGGGCATCTTTGTAGCCCTTTGTATTCTGGTTCAGATGAACTACTTTAACAAGGCCCTGGATATCTTTTCGACGAATGTGTATGTGTTTATGTGCTATAGGCTTGGCAGCTCTCTGATCTTCATATCCTTGCTCACAGCGTGAACCCCATGTACTTTGTCGGCTTCTCGACTTGCACTGCCACCGCCTCCCTCATTCTTTTCCAAGGATTCAACACAACCGATGCCACCAACACCGTTTCCCTACTCACCGGCTTTGCCGTGACCTTTATGGGCGTACATCTCCTCAACCTCTCACGACAGCGTGAGCCTAGCTTGGGCGAGCACACAGCCCTAGAAGGTGGGTTGATGAACCCTCGACTTAGTTTGCAAGGGCGTGCGTCGCTCGATGGATGGGGCAGCGGCGACACACGGATTGGGCCGGCGCCCACACACACACGCAGAGGCTCCCACTATCGCAGCCCGTCCGGCACACTATTCAACGCGTTCGATGTTCACCCTGAGAGCGAGGCCCTGGGGCTTCAGCAGCTGCGGGAAGAAGACGAGACGGACGACGACGATGATTTTGATGAGCGGGCGCGGCTGAATAAGAGTAAAGGTGGGCCGCTACCTCCGAACGGACACCCGAATGGACATGCGAATGGCCCGGCCAGGCAGAGCGGGTCTCGGAGCCACAGCCACTCGCCCATCCCCAGTAGAACGGCGTCAACGGATGCTCGGATAGCTCTGACATGACCAGCGTGTGTTATAGTTATACAGTTATACATACCCCTCTCGATGTGGACTTTTTTATATATTACGACTCTTGGGTAATGGCTTCTCTCTGGACTTTGGTGGGTGGTTGAGTTAGGCGCTGCACATATTGTTTATATCAAGGTGGTTGGATATCATCTTCTTCGACAGATACTTGGCCTCACATGCATCCTTCATACTGTCACTCTTTACACATTGGCTGGCCCTCGGGAGTCAATCTCCATCCGCCAGTCCCTCGTTTCTTTGCTTGAAAAAGTTCATCCACTGCCAAGTACAAGATTGCAAAAATTCCTCGAAGCCTAGGCCATCAGCGTGAGTGCCAAGTGTGCTGTTGATTCTTGACGAAGTCTAGAACTTCAAAGCGTCCTTCAAATTCCGCGTGAGCTATTAAAAACTTGGCCGATATAATTAATTCCAGGGTGCGCCTTCCAAAGCTCTAGATGCATATTTCATCAAGACTTGAGTCGCTGACTGTCACTACCGCCGCATGTGGAGACTGAAATGGGGTAGCTTATTCATAGGCGATTACACCGTTATTTAAAATTACAGTTCTCTGCATTATTCAAGTGACAATAAAAGTGCATTCCCAATGCTAACAAGACAGACATGGAGATAAAGGGTATCTCGATATGTATTGTGGGAAATCTTCTATCTCAACATCTAATCGGAACATATTGTACCATCTGCCGTGTCCTCACTGCTCAGAGATTGTATTGTGAATTTGAGTATAATACTATAAAGAAATTAATACACGCCGTTCCATCTAGAAGTTCGGACCGCAGTGTCTATCAGGCCTTGCGCCACTCCGGTAACATGCTAGTCTATTTGAAGCTCACGGCCCTCAGCAGACACGGTGGAATACATTAAATTTACTCTACAAGGCTCTTGAACCCTCAGAAATTTACAAGATTAGAACATGTGCTTCTTCCAGTAAATATAGCTACTAGATTACTCGCTATTACTCGGTTCAAATGCCACTCAGGCACAATGCAGTGAACGAAAACAATAAACTTGGGTTATTCTTGGTCACTTTTTGCCCTGAATGAAGTGAGCTATGAGCAGAATTCTAGAACTGACCAACCCCAAAGGGCCTATGAGTGAGCGTCGACATGAATTGATTATTCTGGTATAACCCGGGGATACAACATCAATGCGCCACATTTCGCTTCGTACACCATCAGTAAACGCTCAAGACTAATCATTCCACGATCCTTGGTATATAAATTCAATAAAAATCAACGTCTTGCGGGTTCCCTTGCTTACAAGGGTTCTTGCGGGGTCTTAAGTCGGACACTTTTCGTCCTACCGGCAGTCTCCGTCAATCCTCCAGCCAAACAAGAGCAACCCAGGGCGTTTCACGGTTGACAATTCGTTGAGCCTCGAGCTGCCGCATCGCTCAGCGGCACGCGTAGGCACCCAATTTGAAGCGTTTTTCTGTTTTACCGAAGGCCTAATCGATTCAGTGGCTTCAGAGACCCAATATTTTGGAAATATCCACAATACTTAACTCGAGAGTCGAGGCTATGCCACCAAGGTACCTGTAACGCCATGGAAGCGCAAGCCTGCAATGATCACCTCCACTCGATTCTCAATGCCCAATTGAACCCTTCATGTAAGTAAGCAAGGGTTATGTCGACGAAGTTGACACTTCCTCTAGTCCTCAAATGTAGGATTAAAGCTCACCCTGGCGGGAGAAAGCTTAAAATGATTTAAAAAGTGGTTCAATCCAGGATCGAACTGGAGACCTTCTGTGATCACCCTGTGAGACAGAAATCATAACCACTAGACCATTGAACCGATGACATTACTGTCATGGCTGCCACTGCGATCGAGGATGTTTCGTATTCAAAATGTGAGCTGGTGCGGTGGGCCCACCAGCGGTGAGAGATCCAATGAAGACCGTGCTCTGTACTGTTGTATATAGATCAGATCTAGAAGTGGCAATAGTAAGTGTTTCTAGATTCATCTTCAAGCTAACTCGTGATAAAGTGCCTATGAGCTAGCTTCACATCCCGACGGTGTCCGTACATGATATTCAATACCACAGTGCCTTGTACTACTAGTAGAACAAAAACCTAAATTACGTAGTCAAATGCTAGTAAGCCATTACATCCGAAATCCTAGCGCAATATTAGGAGAATTCTTGTTCAATCATGACGTGGCTTTCGTATTTCAGAAAGCGGTATCAAAAATATGTGGCGCACCCTCGTCTATCTTCACGTCTACTACTCCCTCTTCCCAGGACATGTCATACTCTGCGAGGAAAATATTGACTTTGGCCGGCTGCGGAATTGATAGAGAGTAGTAGAGTTCGCGGTGACACATATCACTTGGTCTAATCCATCGGACTCTTGGGCAAGCGGCCGCCGTGATCGAGTGGTGTAGTACATTGCTGCCTGTGTCAAAACCAAAGGTTGCTGTCCCGATACCCATCAGCAGTGACAGTACTTATTGTCAATAATCTGGACAATTAAAGCGAGGGTTTTCTGCCGCTAGATCAAGGAGAATGGAGGGGCACCTGATGACTCAGCAGCTATCACTTGTCGTTGAGGGTCAGTTCGGAAACTATCGCAATTTTGAATTTACTAAAGTTGAGGGGAGCGTTACTATAATATATGCCGATGTCAATATCTGGATCGGCACTACACCGTAACGGGCACCCAAGGGGGCAGATGGAAGGGTTAAAAGAATCTAAAAATTGGTTCAATCCAGGATCGAACTGGAGACCTTCTGTGATCACTCCATGTGAGACAGAAATCATAACCACTAGACCATTGAACCTGTTGGCATAATGCCCTCGCTCATCTTTCCATAGCGATATCATGCGAACTCATAAAAGCAGTAGGTTCAATGAACTGCTGTAGGTTATCTGTCGCTATTTCTGTTATGGATTTGATTGTGTACACGGAAAACCTAAAAGCAGGTGGAATAATTAATTAACTGCGCTGTAGATTTTTTTAATAATAATAAAAGGCACTAAGGACGTTCTTAGTGCGTTTTATTATTATTCGAACGTTGTCTAGCTTATGTTCAAACGTCCAAACTTCAACCTTGCTCGCCGACCCCAGTTAGTAGTCTAATCGATTCACTCTCGTGTTCGATAGGCGAGGGATCATTCGGCAGGTTCAACCCGACGCTTAGCGCTACAGTGCCATTGATTGCGAAGGTTTGTCGGTTTGCCTTCTAAGGTTTGAGGTGAGCCAGAAAACAATCGATTTGTGTATTTATGGTTGGCCCGAGCCCGAGGACCACAACCTGTGACGTCAACATATGTATTCCGGCTAGCAGTCATCACGAGATATGTCCATATCGCAAGACGAGGTCAGAGACAAGCAACGGAAGGAGCTGGAGAACGTATCGGCCTAGTTCGGCATGTCGTCAGAAAAGTCAAGGTTAGTGCTTATCCAGGAATCAACATCCAGGGAGTCGGAGGCTACGACAGCCCACGGGTACACTACTTAATGTGTTACAATAAGTGTATCCATCACCATGAGACTTATCTAAGTCTTCTCGCCTCATCGGGCCGCGTTAACGGAATACACTAAATAGAGTCCGAGCAGTAGTGATAATGATCAGGAATTTGCAGGTTCTGATAAGTGTTATGTGGGTCATCCTGGGATAATTAACTGGTCAGGGGGCATGGAGGAAGCAAATTGGCTCTTTGTTCAGCGAACCGCTTCCGCAAAGCACTCAATCTGAGAGAATCTAGTGCGCAGATAGTGCGGCTCCTCCGTTAAAACTTTAGCCCGGGTTGTCGATGGTAGTTGTTAATACTAGAGGCACAGGATCGGTGGCGGTGAGACACTGAGAGTTAGATACCATCTATGGCACAGGTGTGGTGAACCCGTTCAAGGTTGATGCAGGTTTCAGCAAGCCTAGAATCCAAAACCCTGACCATGGTGTTCCTGCGTTCCACGCGACGGCGCCAGAACGGTTACAAGCGCGAGGTGAGGCCTGATGACAAATGAGACAGATAGTAAGCGGCAGGGCGTAGGAGACTTGGGCAGACTAGGTTAGCGACTTCAAGTCCCATCGTGTGCGAGCGAGATAATCGCGTGGCTCAGTGAAGTTTCGATGCAGGATTAGAGATTATCAATATCACCACCTGGCGATGAGAATAGGAATAGGCACCCCATGTGTGGAAGGGGCGCAGGATGGCAGGTACGTATACCCAGGCACAGTGTAGTTAAACATAGAAAGCCGGCTATGCACTGCCAATTGTCTCCGTCTGTACCTAATATGGGCGTGCTGGAAACGATACTTATCAGTTTTGAAATGGGGAGAGTGCAGCTCAAGGCGAGAATGACGTTAATCATTGGGTGAGCCGGCTCGTAGAACACTTGGAGCAGTCTGGGGAAGGTGTGTAAGGCAGTTCAGATCACTTTCCGGCAAAATGAATGGAGAAGGGCGGGCAGCTGTTGAGCCGGGGTAAAATACGAGTTGCAGTTGACTGCGGTGAGTCGGAGAGAAAATTTCATTGAGAGAATGAAAATAGGCCGGATCTGATGGTCTCCAGGGCATGTTGGGCGGTGAAGAAATATTATTTCAAGGATATTTGGAGGATCCGGCGGATGGGGGGCAGTGACACTGATGGTTCCTCGGTTGAGGAGGAGATGTGGGTGCAAAGTCACATGACTGGATTGACCTCGATCAAACTGCAAATCAGAAGCGAGTCTACAACTTTGAAAGGCGATTTCCGTTTTACTTATGTGCCTGACCCAACTCTTCTCTCAATCTCCGGTTCTCACAGACGATCAACAATGACCATGCCAGTCTCTCACAGGCAGTCCGACGATCCCCTCGACGAGGCCCTTCGCCCGCCTCCTGACGAGACTCCTCAGCAGCGCCAACTCCGTCTTGCGCGCGAGGAACAGGCGAGCAAGATAAGCCAAGCTATCGATGCTAGTATCAAAGCAGAGAAGCAGGCTAGAAGAAAGAAGCGCATTGTCAGGTTGCTCCTCCTGGGCCAGAGCGAGTCCGGTCAGTTATATACACCAGGCCTGACCCACTCCAAGACTCACTATTCTACACACAGGCAAGTCTACTACTCTCAGACGTAAGCTTCAAGCTTCTGCACCAGCCAACTTCATGCTGACATCATCCAGAATTTCAGCGGTTGTATACACCGACGGCATTTCGTGAAGAACGAATCCTCTGGCGAGCTGTCATTCAGTTGAACATTGTTCGCTCAATACGCATCATCCTCGAGACTCTCACATCCCCGACATACAAATCGCCCAAAACCTCGCCATACTCTTCACCGCGTTCTCGTTCTCGTAGTATATCTCGACCCAGACCACCACCTTTGCCGACACACGTACCTCCTCTTCCCTCATCCGACTATGCCAACTTTAATGGCCATTCAAAGGGCCAATCCATCGGGAACGGCAACGGCAACGCGAATATATACAGCAATGGACACAACGACGACGAGCAATCTCGTCTGCGCGTCGATTCTGGAGGTGAATCGGATGCCGAGTCAGATTCAGACGTCCAGCCCACACGATCCAACCCATCATCCACGACCCTAGCACCATCTCCCCTTGAGGCCTTGAAGACGCGTCTCGAACCGCTTCGGCACATAGAAGCATTGTTGATTGCGAAACTCGTCCCCCCAAACGAAGACGAAGCGACCCACCTGGCGGGCCCGTCCCACTCTGGCCACCCTCCTGACCAGCAGTCGGTCTCCGCGGGCAGCTCATTCCGAAACCAGGAAATTTTTGTACGGCCCGGCATGGGATGGAGAGGTGTTTTGTCCAAGGCCAGGGTCACCTACCCAAACGCCAATGGAACCGAAAACGCTGCGCAGACCGACTCGGGGCGTCCAACCAGTGCAGGGAACACAGGGCTCGAAACACCAGACGAACCACAAGAAGTCTTATATCAATGTCGAAAGGACATGATGATGTTGTGGAACGACGATGTTGTCCGGGAGATTCTCATACGCAAGAAAGTGCGTTTAGAGGAATTTCCAGGATTGTGGGTACTTCTTGCTCCTCCTCGTCGACCGTTAATTTAATACAAGTGTCCAGTTTTCTCAACGACTTGGAGCGTGTTACCTCCCTGCGTTACATGCCTACCGATGGTGCGTATCTTATCTGATTTTTAAAATTACAAATTAGGCCTGACGGCACTTTTTCAGATGATGTCCTAAAAGCTCGTTTGAAAACGGTCGGGGTCTCAGAATATAAATTTGAGATGGAAGTGAGTGCAGGGCGCGAGAGCGGAACTGAGTGGCGCATCGTAGATGTCGGTGGCAGCAGAAGTCAGGTATGCTCGGTCTATGTCCAATTATTACGATGCCTGACAAATCCTCCACGCTGTAGCGACGTGCGTATATTCGCTACGTATTTTCTGGATCTCAAAAACTTAAACATAACAGCGACATGGGCTCCGTTCTTCGATGATGGTATGTCGAATACTGCAGCCCCCTCCGTTAGCCCATCTCAATAAAAATTTCAGTGGACGCGATCATTTTCCTCGCCCCCATATCTGGTTTTGATCAGGTTTTGTCCGAGGATCGGACTGTAAACCGACTGGCAAGTCTTATTTTACTTTACTGCCTAACTACACCTGATTAACACATGTCACACAATATACAGGAGGACTCGGTACTGCTGTGGAAGGCCGTGTGCTCGAACAAGTTGTTGGCCAATGTTGATCTTGTGCTGTTCCTGAACAAGTGCGACATCCTTGACGCGAAGCTCAAATCCGGGATCAAGTAAGTGTCTTCCCTTCGTTATCACCACGATGGACTGCCCAAATACACATGCAGACTGGCGAAATACGTCAAAAGCTATGGTGATCGGGGAAATGATCTCGACAGCGTGAGCAAATGTGTGTCAATCGAGCCGCTGACGCGCCTCGCCAATTTACACCGGTTGCAATTTTACTGACCATGCGCCGTTTGATTAATCCTCCGCCAGACCTCCGGGGAAAGTTCAGCGCGATTCACCGGGAATACTCACCAAACCCGAGAAAATTTTACGCATTTTGCACATCCGTGACAGTGAGTTTCCGATCCTGACTTATCTGGTCGTGGTTCTCGTGATCTCACTATTCCTTTCTTATGCCCCGCTGTCTGCTTAGGACACCGCAACGACGGCAGGCATTATTGCGAGTGGTAAGCTTCTTCCTAGATCTTTGATCTACTCCGGGATTATCTGATTATTTCCTTCCACCCTGCAGTCCGTGATATGGTCATCCGGCAACATCTTAAACAATCTAAATTGCTATCATAACATGGCGCTTCATTCACCCTTAGCCCATTCCTAGGTTTATACCCCGATTTTCATTATCTCCCCCGTGGCTCCTTTTTGGTTTAATTGTTTCTGCGCTGGCCTATAGCAATAGCTCTTGGATCCTTCAGTTCCGCTTGTCTGATACCATCTTTCATGATTTCATTCATTGTCCCCTGTATATCTGTACACGCACACGACGCCACGCCCATGCATATGAAATCTTAACCACATACTTTTCCGGCGCCACTGCCTTTGCACACACATCGTCTGGATCCTGATCCAGTTCTCGCTTGTCTACTTGGTTATCGAACCGCCCATAGATCTCATGACTATTTCTGATTCCTAGTATTCTACGCGCTCGAATGTTGCCATTTAGGCACCTGTAGATATATACTCAAATTTGTACTTATACGTTGAGGGTCAATTTATTTGAATTGCTATCCCGCTTTAATTTCTAAACCCGCTCAGAAAGTAAGACAATGTCGGCCTACTAGATAATTTGGATTCAAGTAGAGCTACGCATTTGACCATTTTTTCGCG